GTTTCCTTCTCTGCTGTGTGGGTGTTGTTTGTGGTGTTGACACTGAGGTTCCATTGGTCTTGCAGTGACCCTTCCCTGCATCTGTTTCAGAGGTTATTGAAATTGTTGAATGCATGAACAACAAGGAAAAATCTGGTTCCTATTAATGTATCAATTAAAGTAAAAAATGGACTGTGAAGAGAAGATTCATTGTATTCCGCAGGCCCTTGTGTCTGTAATCTAGCCTAGAACTTTATTCAGGTATCTCTTCATGGTCCAAGCGTTGTTTTTTTTTTGTTTCTAGAATAAGTTGAAATTTTTCTGTTCCTTCTGAATTTGCTGAATAAACAAGTGTGAAGGTTTGGTATTATTTATTTTTTAATTATTCAGTAGATTTACCAATGAAACCATTTAACTCTGGGCACTTATGTTAATGGAGAAGTTTAAAGTATTTTTTTACTTGTATGAGGTTTTCTCAGATATGGCAGGCGCGCTGGAGCTGGGGTCTCCTCTCTGTGTCCCGCACGGAAAGCGAGAGGTGAACCGGTTCGTGCAAGTAGGAGGCGCTTTCGGGATTAAAGAATAATGAAAGACAGACATAAAATAGATTAAAAGCTTGGGCTGGTTGTGGTGTCTGCCCTCTGACCCGAGAGACAGGCAGAGAGATCCTGTCCTCTGGAGGGACAGGCACAGAGAGAGAGAGAGCCAGCTCCGAAGCTGTTTATTATATACTTGAATTACAGGAAGTTACATCACATCTAGGTGGGCCTTTGACATCATGAGATCCATCTCCTTAACACTGGGCGGTAGAGTCAGACTGAATGGTGTTCAGTCGTTGACTGGTCCTGCCTTCAGGGCGTGTATTTGCCCTCTCACTGAATTTCAGCTGACATAAATCAAGCCACGTGTATTCTAAAGGCCCTTAACACTCAGATTTTTTATATTTCTTGAGTCAGTTCTTGATAATGTACATCTTTGTAGAAATTTGTCCATTCTAAGTTGTCAGTTTCATAAACATAAAATTTTTCATTATAATTTCTTAGAATGTTTTTCATTTGTACAATACTAACAGTAATGGCTCCTCTTTAATTTCTGATTTTGTGATTATTTTTGGTCAAGTTAGTTATCATTGGTCAAGGTCATTGACATTTTTTGGTTTGTTTTTAAATATATTTTTATTGATTTTAGAGAGGAAGGCAGAGGGAGAGAGAGAGAGAAACATCAATGATAAGAGAGAATCATTGATTGGCTGCCTTCTGGGGATCGAGCCTGCAACCAGGGCATGTGCTCTTGACTGGAATCGAACCCAGGACCCTTCAGTCCACAGGATAACGCTCTATCTAGTGAGCCAAACCAGCCAGGGTTCATTGATGTTTTTTAAGAATAAATTTTACTGTGTTATTTATTTATTTATTTATTATTTTTAACCTTTTTATATCAAAGGTTTCTGCTCTCACTTATATAGTTTCCTTTGAGTGTGTATATGTAAATGCGCATTCATACATGAGAGTGTGCATGTGTTTGTGTGTGCATTGTTGCCAGAAGCCGGTCCATCCTTGCTGCTTGACACAGTCGCTGCAGGAAAGAAACATCTGCACAGCATATGTTTCAAGGGACCTGGCATATATAGCATATTGTTCTTAATATGTTTGCTCTCCTTAGCGCCATGTGTTTTAACCAAGGTCACCTCTCCGAGAAAGGTTGTTTCCCCAGGTGGGGATTTTTCCCCGAGGTTAGGGAGGGGATACAACCCCTTAACTAAGTGCCAGGCGGGTAGTTAAGCTACATAATCTTTACTCCCTGGAATGGAGATAAGAAACGCCCTAACCTTTGTAATAGAAATTGACAGGATTAAAATCGGCTGGTATAAATATAGATGTAACAAGACAATAAACATCAGATCCTGATCAGTTCCTAACCAGAACTCCGACCAGAACTTTGGCTGGAGATCCTGGCTAGAGGTCCTGACTAGGCTGCTGATCAACTGAAGGCTGTCTCCGTGTCATTCCTTCTTCACCGACTCCGTCCACACCTTTGGGGACCCCTGGACCTGCTGGGGTTGGACCCCAGCACATTGTATTTAATTTGTTCTTTTTCTAGTTTCTTAAAGTGAAAAATTGTTGTTTTATTTTGTTAATCCTCACCTTAAGTTATTTCTTCCATTGATTTTTAGAAAGAGTAAAAGGGAGGGAGGGAGAGAGAGAGAGAGAGAGAGAGAGAGAGAGAAAGAAACATCATGTGAGTGAGGCACATTCATTGGTTGCCTCTGGCACACACCCCAAAGGAGGCCAGAGATCAAATCTGCAAACAGGTACATGCCCTTCACCAGAAATTGAATGTGGGAGTCTTTGGTCCTGGGGCTGACACTCTCACCACTCAGCATACCAGCCAAGGCTTAAATTAGGAATTTTGACCACTAACTTGAGAGTCTTTCCTCTTATAGTTTTTAATGTTATAAATGCATTGTTTTAGCTATATTCCATACTTTTCGATTATTTACTTATATGTTTGTTTTTTATTGATTTCGGAGAGAAAGGGAGAGGGAGAGAGAGATAGAGATAGAAACATCAATGATGAGAGGCAATCATTGATTGGCTGACTCTAGCACTCCCACTAATGGAGATGGAGCCTGCCACCCTGGTGTGTGCCCTGACTGGGAATTGAACCGCCTCCTGGTTCATAGGTCAGCCCTCAAGTACTGAGCCCCACCTGCTGGGTCTTGTTATTTTGAATCAATTTAACTTTTTTTCAAATTTTCTTTGTTATTTTTATCTTAACCCTTGAAATATTTGAAATGGTGCTGTTTAATGTATAAACACTCGGTGATTTTTTTACTTTTCTTTTCTTCTGTGTATTTTAAATTTAATTCCTTTCTAATCAGAAAGCATATATTTTATTATTTCAATCTTTTAGATGTATTGACACTGCTTTATTGACTAAAATATTATTTGAAAATAATGTGAAGTGTGTATTGATTGGATAAAAGGGTCTTTAGTTGTCAGGTGGAGCTGGCTGATAATATTGGTCATGTCTTCTACATCATGATGGTTTTCTTATTTACATTTTTGCTTTTTATTTTCTCCTTTTCTTAAGTATCTTTAATCTTTCTTATAATACTGATTTGGTGGTGATTATTGCCTTGAGCTTTTTCTTATCAGGTTAGCTCTTTATGTCTCCTTCAATTCTAAATAAGAGCCTTGCTGGGTAGAATAATCTAGGTTGTAAGTCTTTGTGTTTCATCACTTTGAATATTTCATGCCACTTCCTTCTGGCCTGCAAAGTTTCAGTTGAGCAATTAGTTGGGATTCTTAGGGAGCCCCCTTATAGGGAACTAACTGCTTTTTTTTTTAAATCATTTTTAAGATTTTTTTCTTTGTATTTTTCATTCCTCACTGGGTATTTTTTATGCTTTCTATCTCCTTTTTATATTTCCTCTCTCTTTGTTGAAGTTCTCTGTCAGATAATCTATTCTTTCCCTATGTTCATTGAGCATCCTTATAACCAGTGTTTAGAATTCTGCATTTGGTAGATTGCTTGCCTCCATTTTGTTTAGTTATTTTTCTTTAATTTTGTCCTGATCTTTCATCTGGGACATGTTTCTTTGTCTCCTCATTCGGCTGCCTTCCTATGTTTATTTCTATGTGTTTGGTATATCTGCCACATCTCCCAACCTTGGCAGAGTGGCCTTATGTAGCAGGCTTCCCCTGGGGCCCAGTGGTGCAGTTTTTGTGTTCATCTGAACCAGGTTCTCTAGGGGTGTCTAATGTTTGGGTTGTGGGTGCTTTCTTGTTGTAGTTGAGCCTTGATTGCCGTTGGCACATCAGTGTGTGGGATTGCCTCTCAGGCTGAGTTGGGGGCCCATTTCATAATGTACACCTGTGGGTGTGGTACCAGCCAGTTTCATTTCCCCTCCTACCAGCCTTGTGGTGACATTTTTAAAAAATGTGTTTTTACTTATTTTAGAGTGAAAGAAAGGGAGAAGGAGAGATCTATGGTGATAAATAAGATTAGATGACTAAAAATAGTTAACTATGTAATGAGCTGTCTTGTTATTGCCTAAAATGAAGTAAATATTATAGTGTTTAGAATAGTGACCAAGTGGCTATTGGTAACATGGACAAAGGTGTATAAAAGAGGAGGAAATTTCTTTGTTGAAAACTAAGTTACATAGTAAATATCCTAAGTTTCTATGGCTTCTTTACTAAGCATTATATTAACCTGCATTTAAGAGACAAAACTGAGTAATAATAAAGACTTGGAAATAAATTATAGATATATGTGTTTTGAACTTAAGGGTGTGGATAAGATCAATTATAGATAGTGGGTGAAGAAAGAAGTGACATTTGAGAAATGTCTACATTAATACATTTGTTTGCTTGTACACTGAGCAGAAGCCATATGAATTTTTGAGGAAACTATAACTACTCATTTTGTTTCTACAAATTATGGCAAAATGCCTGACAAGTAATAGTAGAACATTTGTGTTGAATAAATGAACAAACCATGAAATATTCAAATCATCTCATGAGGAGTCTTATGAACATGGGAATATATCAGGGGCCTCATATCTTTCTCATAAATATGTCTCATCTCCAGGTACTGGAAGCTCAAGCTGTGCTGCCACAATGGTCAAAGTTGTTTCTATATTTTAGAAAAACACACAACTATACATGAATATTTTGAAATGATTGACCTTGGTCTTCTCTTTACCTTTTTGCTCTCACATTGGACCATCTCTATTCCCTCTAGATCAGAGGGGTGGGGTGGGGAGATGTGTTGAAGCTTTGTTAGTGAAAAGAGCTTATTACTTCATGACTTATAGTTTCTCTTTCCTCCCTAGGATGTGAAAGGCACTGTGAAAAGGTATGTGTGGAAGACCTTGGTCTTATTGTGTTGTAAAAAGAGGTTTAAAGCCGTTAAAGTTATCTAGTGATTAATTAGAATAAAATATTGCTCAGGGCAGAAACATTTAGATGTAGTTTTATCTTAAATTTCCGTTCACACATGATTTGTTCATTCTATATCTATTGAGAATGAACCAGCTTTTATATAGGCAATTTATTTGGGAGGCATTGCAGAGTATGGATTAGTAACAATTAAACATCAGATGTTTCAGTATCAGACACACCTGACTTCATAAATTCTATGCACTCAGTATGCCTGTATCTAACTCAGATTTCCACATTTCATAGGTGGTGTATTGATTGTGGGAATGTCATGTCTTCTTTATATCCTAAGCACCCAGAATTTGAGACAACGCCTTTATATTTAAATGTCTTCTCTGGGAATAGAAGATATGGTTCTCTTTATTTTCCAAAAGCCGACTTGAATATCAAGGAATATTTTGACCCTGGGAAAAACAATTGATCATCCTATAACATATTTTAAGGTCAGAATGGAAGGACATCATCTTTGTATCTAAATTTGAACACCTACTTGGCCGCACTAATCTATTCCAAGCACATGAAATTCAGACCACTATTAGTATCATATTTACAATATCTTCTTTTCCAAGGGTTACATTTTTTTCCCAGAAGACTGAAATCGCAGATGTAGTTCTGGAGGTCTCCCTACTGAACAGTGAAATTTAAAGGTCTTGGTTCTTCCCAGACAGTATTCCCACACTTGATATATCTCAAACATAAGGAACCATGTTCTGCATCCTCACATTCTTGTCATATTGCTGAGAATCTACATCCATGTCATGACTTTTCCTTCAAGGTAGCAAATTTTGCATTTTAAAGAAATTCACTATGGCACATAATTTCATATGACTTTTAGGAGTTAGAAAGGGAGAAGATAGTTATCACTGTGAAAGGAATAAACTACTTCTGAGAGGTCAGTGCCTTTCCAAGGGCAGACAGCAGTCAATTAGGAAAGTGGTTTGAGCACATTTCTTCTGGTGTCAAGGTCAGAAGTCTACTCTCTCCTTTCTCAGGGGTCCATGAATGGGGGCTCAAGTACTCCTTGGGGTGAGTAGATAAAATCAATGGTTTTGGAGAGACAGAAATTCAGAGGTGTGTGGATCTATTTTGTTGTCTCTAGGAGTAAGACCTTCACTCTGAAGAAGCCAAAAACTCTCTCCAGGAAGCTAAGGAAAGTGTTTCAAGCTCCTGACCTGAGAGGGATACTGGAAACGTTTAATGGTGAGGAATGCTAGAGCAATGGGTAGCTGTGAGGTTTTTGTTATAGTTGAGGTTAAAGTTTTAGGTTTAGAAAGAAGGATATTATGCTGATGACATATTCAATGGGGAGTGGTCAGCTTGTCTTTTTCACCTCTCATTCTTCCCTGTACTACTATACATAGACCCCAGTATTTCTCTGATTTGGAGAGAAATTAGATGTTAATGTAGAATCTTTTGCCTATACTTAATGTTATGGATTTTTTCTAATTTCAGAACTGGCAGATGTGCGACGCTCCTGGGGTAAGGAGAAATCACAATATCATGAAGCCACCTTGTCCTCATCTTTTAGTATTTGGCATTTTCTACTAGGTCTCATGTATAAATCCATATTTTCCCTCCCACCACACACATACATATTATATTTCTGCAGTGTGTACTGCTCTTGAAGAACCAAATCAAATTCTTCCCATTTCCCACTCATTTTATTCTCAACACCTCTCTGACAATGTCACAAATAAAGGTACATCATATTCCTCACCAACCCTATAATTTTTCTAACAGTACACGTGACCCTGGATCCTCCCACGGATAAATCAGATATTATCATTTCTGCGGATCGGAGACAAGTGAAGTCTGCCTTTTATTTGAGAACACATTATTTGTATCAGAAAGACAATGATGAGGATGATGGTGTCCTGGGGTCACCTCCTATCACATCAGGAAAACATTACTGGGAGGTGGATGTGTCAAATAAATATGCCTGGGTTTTGGGGGTATATGGTGAAGAATGTCTGGACTCCAATATGATGGATTTTGTAAAACAAGATAAAAAACATCAGCATGTTTGGTCTCAATATCAACCTAAATATGGCTACTGTGTTATAGGGCTGAAGAACCATTCTGAATATAAGGCTTTTGTGGATATTGCCTCCTCTGACTCCACGACCTTAAACCTGTACCTGAGTGTTCCTCCCCGTCGTGTTGGGGTTTTCCTAGACTATGATGCTGGCACTGTCTCATTTTTTAACATCACTAACCATGGGTTTCTCATCTATAAATTCTCTTCATGTTCCTTTTCTCAGAAAATGTTTCCGTATTTCAATCCTATGAAATGCACTGCCCCCATGACACTGTGTTCTCCAGGTTCTTAAACATCTTACCACTTCTCTGGAGTGCCTCTTGCCTTGGTGCATCTAATGAGTTGAGGTCACCTGCTCCATTCTCACCATACTTTCTGTTCTCTTTTTTCAATTTGAACACCCTTCATTCATCAATAGGGTGTATAATTTGCCTCTTGTCATGTTTTCCACAAAATCTTATTTGCATTCATAGATGATCCTAATTCTTGAGTTTTATCATCTCAATGAAAATGACTAATGCCTCATAAAAAATAAAAAAAAAGACATGTATGGAGGTAACATCTCTACCAAGTTCTACAATCTCATGTCCTCTGCCCCTGACTGAGAAGATGAAGGAAAGCTTTTCAATAACTTTTATTGAAGATCTTGTATAGAAGTCATTCACTACAGAATAAATTCTCAGAGGTCTTTCTGTTTATCCATGATGTTTGTTATTCATCAAGGAGTGAAGAAGAAAATATTAAATATTGGATTTTAATTGATTTCTTAGAGAGAGAGGAAGGGAGAGGTAGAGAGAGATAGAAATAGTGATGAGAGAGAAACATCAAAGGGCTGCCTCCTGCATGTCGCCTACTGGGGATTGAGCCTGCATGCAGGAAATGTGCCCTGACTGGGACTTGCATCAGCTACTTCTTGGTGCATGGGTCGATGTTCAACGACCGAGCAACATCAGCCAGGCAATAAGAAAATATCATAAACTAGCGGCCTAGTGCATGAGATTTATGCACTGGGGAGGGAGGTCGCTCAGCCCAGCCTGCGCCCTCTCGCAGTCAGAGACCCCTCGGGTATGTCCATCTGCTGGCTATGCCGGCAGTCAGACATCCCTCTTGCAGCCCAGGGCTCTCACAGTCCAGAACCCCTCACTCCTTCCCACCCGCCTGCAGTGGAGGTAGGAGAGGCTCCCACTGCCTCTGCGCTATCCAGCTGTGAGCCCGACTTCTGGCTGAGTGGCACTCCCCCTATGGGAGCTCACTGACCACCAGGGGGCAGCTCCTGCGTTGAGCGTCTGCCCCCTGGTGGTCAGTGCTCATCATAGCAACCAGTTATTCTGCTGTTCAGTCAATTTGCATATTACACCTTTATTATATAGGATAATATGTATTATGAGTGTAAGTTCTATGACCTCATTAATGAGTTCATGTCCAATTTCTCCCAATATGCATAGTGAATTTTGAATAAAATACCTGAATGCCGATTAATTTTCTTCAAATAATCCTGGTAATAAAACCATATCATAGTTAGTATCACTGTGAGACGAAAAATGTCATTAACTATATAACATGTAAGTGTCTCAACTGAATAAATATTTCTCCACTAAATACTGAGAAATCTAAGCTGTGTCAGTGTCTCATGAAACAGATTTTGCTTTCAGGGGCACAAGGGTAGTTTTTACCAAAGTCTCATGTTTCAGATCCCAGATATCTCTGTGCTGCTGTCTAGACTAGTCCAGCTCTGCCAGTGTTAGACAAGCGTGTGTGCGTGTGTGTGTGTGTGTGTGTGTGTGTGTGACTGAAAATTTTATTATAAGTCTGCTGTTACTGCATATTAGTCTTGATCAAATAATCTAAATTGTACACAATTCAGTTTCACATTTGTAAAATAATATGAAATTTACCTGATGTATTTTTGTGAAAATTATACCACAAAATATTTTCAATAGCTTCTGCCATGGCTAGCACATAATTAGTCATCATGTATGGTGTTGATTCATTTTTATTTGCCTCTCACTGTGACTGAAATAAATGATTTTAAGAATACATATTAGTTTTCTTTCAACTTTACTATTCTTGTTTTGATTTAAGAAATAAAAATAACTTGATGAAAGAATTGTGTAATCTCATGAACAAAATAATCTGATGAACAAAATGGAACCAGAAACAAGGAACA